CCCCAAAACCCCAAAACCCCAAAACCCCAAAACCCCAAAACCCCAAAACAATAGGTTCTTGTTTATTTTTAGTTAGTTAGAAATAATGTTGAGATCATCGAATTCTTCAGGAACCGAGAGTCTAAATCCTCTGATCTTGATTACTTCATCTAGCTCATCAAAACCTTCCTCTGTTGGATCAAGAGGAACGTATTCAATATATTTTTGATCATTATATTCTCCACCAACTTCGAAAGAATCTGCAGAAGTAACAAGGGTAGAGTCAAGATGCAAGTCATGGATACTAGTTTCTTGTCCCTCTAGCCATAGAATAGATTTCTTTGAAATAAAATTTTCACCTGTAATTTTCTCTCTTATTTCTTTCAAAGTCACTCCAAATGATGGGTGAAGGAAGATCTTTGCACCATCTCTGATTCTAATGCCTTGGAAGTCCTTTAAGTCCTCCTCGTTAGTTTCTTCTATATTAAGGCCAATCATCTCTAGCAATCTCGCATTACAGTCAAATAGAGAATATTCACCAGTAGATGCTCACTCTGGGCTAAGACCTTGGTCAAATTTGGCTGCAGCATCAATTATATTATTTTTCACAGCAGAGTAGCTGATCCATCTCTCGTAACAAGAGAAACCTACATTAGAAGTCTTATCAAGTAGCTTTGGGAAATCTTGCATCATTCACTCTAGCCTAGTCGATGACTTAAAGACTTCTTTTTCCTCATCTTTATATTTAGGATTCACAAACTCTGGAATTAAACCCTGAGTCTTATCTAAAGTATCCAGATATGTAGATACTTTAATCAAGATAATATTAGAATTCCCTGGGAAGAAACTATTGCCACTCTTATCAGCAACGTCTCCATTTTCATTCCAAGAGGCTTTGAGAAGAGGATCAAGCTGGTTATATTCAACATTTATAGTGATTTTCTGATTCACAGCTTCATTAGTAAGTGTGGCAATTCCTCCCATAGCTTCACCTGGTTTTCTAGGAACACAGATACTATTTACATCGAAATCTTTTCTTACACTCACTCCTAGGGCAGACGGAAGAGCTCTAAAAACCAGAGCATTAGTGTCTTGGAAGAAGATCACCCATCTCTTTTCCATTTTAGCCCACTTCTGGATCACTCCATGCTGATGTAGTAGTGTATGAACGTCTCCATGTCCATGAGGCTTAGTTTCGATTTCTAGTTTACCCTTGATAACTGAGAAATTCGCATTGTTATCAATTAATGCAGGAACCTTCTCCTGCTTGACTACAGTGATTTGGTCTTTCTTCATTCCAAAGTTATCTTTCTCCTGTAGTAAGGCAAGGGTTTTCTCGTGAGTATCTCCTGAGGTCATTATGCAGAGTGGGATGTAGAACTCTTTCTGTTCTTCTTCATCAAGATCTACAATTACACGTGACTCAAAAGCTTTGATATATTCACAATAGTACTTAAGATAACAAAGCTCTTTATCCAAGAGAGTAAGGGGTAAGCCGACCTTAATTGATGAATATCCTAGTCTCTCACCTAATCCTCCAGCCACAAGAACAAAGCATGCATCTGCCATATTTGACATTCCAATTGCTTCAAGCTGATGGAACTCCTTGGAATTAGCTTCAACATTTATTCCAGTTGGAACGGACGGAATGAATCCTCCAAATGGGTTTACACCCATTTTTGAGTCATTCAATAAATCTCTTGCTCTTTCACAATACTCAGCTAATCCTCCTTTAAAGTCGAAATCTAGCTTGACGATTTGTTGTGCAAGAGAGTCCTTTTCCTCTTCAGTGGCCTGCTCGTATTTTTCCAAAAGATCATACTGTTCACACTCCTCGAGAATCTCAACACATTTGTCTTGGAATTTTGCTTGCATTTCCATTTCACTAATTTTTTCTTAATAATATTATCCTCAGCAAATATTATTAAAAACGGGGTTTTGGGGTTTTGGGGTTTTGGGGTTTTGGGG